TGGTGTCTCTTCTTCTCTCTGATACTGTTTGGTGTCCCATTCGCACCACTTGTTGCCAAGCTTGGCATGACTCCGTTACTCGCAGCTGTTTATGTTGGTGCTAAGTACAATTTGTTTCGAAGTATGGTATGGTATTAGTATCAAGGAGAGGTAACAAGTATGTGTTGTGATATTTAGTTTTTTATTTTTGGCAATTGTAGTATTGACTCACATATTTAACAATTTTTTTTTTTTCTTAAGGATTCCTAAATAGAGTCCACCATTGGACTGATCTTTTTGTTTAGAATCCTTAATTATTCAGTAAACACAAAAATTACTATTAAATTGCTTAAGGATTCCACAATGGAGTCCACCATTGTGGATGCTCTTAAAAGCTATACGAACATTTTTAATTTTCTTGAAAATCAACGGTCATTTATTGACAGCTATGTTGAAAATTGTTTTAAATAAATTTCTTGTTGCGTAATTGACCATAATATTTTATTAAATCTAAAGTATAAATAAAAGTTTAGTTCTCGATTACAGGGAATAGTTATAAATAAAGATCAAAATTTTATTATATCTTTGTAATAAAAGATACAACGTTACGGACGATTTGGCTTTTAACCTGTGACCACCGATTCTCTCTCTCTCTCTCTTTGACTCATCAATCAATCAATCAATCATGGTGGTTGAACTATGGGAGACGGTCAAGGAAACCATCACAGCTTACACCGGCCTCTCTCCGGCTGCCTTTTTCACCGTCCTTGCTCTCGCCTTCGCCGTCTACCAAGTCGTCTCCGGTTTCTTCGTCTCTCCCGAGGAACACCGTCCTCGCTCCACGGAGGATTACCCGCAGCCGGAGCCTCTTCCGCCTCCGGTTCAGCTGGGAGAAATCACGGAGGAGGAGCTTAAGCAGTACGACGGATCCGATTCCAAAAAGCCCCTTCTCATGGCCATCAAAGGCCAGATCTACGATGTTTCCCAGAGCAGGTTTACTCTTATAACCCTAATTGTTTATCAGATTTGTGGGGTTTGAGATTTGTGGTGTTTGATGAGTTAATCATGTGTTTGTAGACTCTATTAGTGTGCTTTTATGTTATTCTTTTGCGTAAAGCTGATAACTTTTTTGGTACCTTAAACTTGTGTGAGCTTTTATGCTTATATTTTGCTTGTATGAATATTCACTTCTTTGTTTCAGACTGCTCTCAGACTGCTTTTGATTCTTGTTTTTTTTTTATTTTTGTATTTGTTTTTGCCTTCTTTGTGTTTGTTTATTCAAGTTAGCTTAAAGGTCCCTACTTTTGGTACAACCTATATTAAGTAAACATGTTGAACTAGTAATAGAGAGTACATTTGGGATTGATGATAAGTGATAACATTCAAGCTCGTTAAAGGCTCTGCCTTTTAATTTGCTTATGTGCTCTACAGTTTCGTGATGTTTTATGAATCTAGTCTTGTGTAGAGGAGGTTGTTCATTAGCTAACTATCCACATTTTGCCCAATTCCATGCTAAATATTGTTTGTGGATTCATAACTTATCTCTACGACAGATCTTATACTAAACATTAGCCTTATAGCTTTTCATTGTTCACCTCTAGTTCTTTTACTTGCTCACATTTGTTAATTTTCTGCAGGATGTTCTATGGACCAGGTGGACCATACGCTCTGTTTGCGGGGAAAGATGCAAGCCGAGCTCTGGCTAAGATGTCCTTTGAGGAAAGTGATTTGACCGGAGACATCTCGGGTCTCGGTCCATTTGAGCTAGATGCGTTGCAAGACTGGGAGTACAAGTTCATGAGCAAGTACGTCAAAGTCGGGACCATTCAGAAGAATGATGGAGAAGGCAAAGAAAGTGCTGAGCCTTCTACAAACACTGGAGAAGAAGCTTCTGCGGCTGCCCACGAGGAAACTCCTAGAAGCGTAGAAGAGAAAACAGAAGAGGCCACAGAGAAGAAGGATGTTGCAAATGGTGATGCTGCAAAGGAGGAGTAAGTCAATATGAAGCAAACACTTTCTCTTGAGAAATTAGTGTGATTTGTCAGGATTTTAAGTATGAGTCGTATATAGCTCATGTTGAAAGAAACAAGCTCAATAAATTAAAAAAAACGTAGACTGTGTGTATCTTTTGGATCTTGTGATAACATCAAATTCTCGTTATGAAAACTTTTAAATTACATTATGTGCAAGTGTGTATGGTTTTTTTAGTTGATAATTATTTTATCTTCTAGGATGGAAAATTACAACTACATGGATTAGGAATAATTAGGACTATCTTGCTGGAATATGAAGACATATGGAGAGGAATGTAGTGTGCATATAGTAAAACAAGATTCATGCGAACTTGGAGAAGGGAATCGAGCATGGTGAAAATAGTCACAACACAAAACATAGTCAGTCTAGTCCAAGTAGTCAAATATTTGGTGCGTTGAATGCTAAAGTAGGAATAGTTGAAGGTGTGCACTGTGATTGTCTTGATGGCACACTAACTAATAACTTAATGTTTACCACAGTTTTCGATATGAATAATTAACGTAGTCAAAGCAAGGATAGTAACTGTCCACTAGCAAAATTTAGATTTTGGAAATGCTCAGTTTGTAGTGTCCTTGATCAATGAAAGAACAAATACTAATACAACACACCACTGGGACTAAATGAATATGTTACGAAATTGACCAATGGAATCAAATAATGTAAAGGATTGTGAAACAGATATGTAGTAAAAAGATAGAACCAGTCAAGATGACTTCAGTAGTGAAAGAAACAGAATTGGTTAAACCAAATTTGACTTTGATTCAGTGAAACCACAATTGTAACCTGTAAGAGGCATTAACCGAGTTGAAACTGATTATCCCCAAACACCAGAAACTTAATCGAAGCCGGTTTTAGAGTTAACAGACTCGATTGAGCTTTAACTTCAACTATATGTTGTTGGGTCCACTCGAAAGTAGAACCCTCCAAAAATAGGCGTATGCCACTTAGCGTGGAGAGCACACGGTATTCTTTAGTAAAAGGCGAAAGAATAGTTCGCTTTGTGCTCACCACATGGCTGCGTGATTAAATACAAGGGAAGGAGACCTTCATTTATAGTTCGAGCTTCTGCTACTCAGTTCTCCTACTTAACCGATGTGGGACTCCTAAATAAAAGCCGCTACTGGATTTAATATATTCTTGATGGCTTTGATGGACCAGAAGTACGTTTGGGCTTTACACTAAATTATATGCGTATAAGACAGGTCTCTTCCTTTTCCAGTTTTTGAGTACAGAATTTTTAAACTACATTTTTATCAAAAGCTTGTGGTCAAGCCAAAGACTGATTGGAACATGCCCAACTACAAATCTGTACCCTTTCAGTCACGTGAACTTCACTGAGTATTCATCATTAACCTCATGAGTCTCATTCCTATGTCTTAACGCATTTATATTTTGATTTTTCACCAATAAGGCAAGTAGGCAACCATTAAAATTATACGAAATAGGAATATAACATATTCCCCTCTATATTAATTGAGAAACATTTGAAAAGATGTAACCTCGAGTTTGTAATAATTAAAAAGTAACCTTGCTTAGTTGTCAATCAATTAGCATACCAATTAAACTAACGTGGCAGCTTTAGGTTCAATTGAAATTTGCTAGGGAAAAATAATTAGAGACGCATATAACGCATGTAACATAGTTTATATATATATATATATATATATATATATATATATATATATATCGCACGCATGTAATGGAAGAAAAGGAAAATATACAATTTGATAACGATTTGCATATATTAACTATAATAACTTCATTCCTTTTAATTTATGGAAGTGTATATGTAAAATATAAATTACTTTGTGACCAAGTACATACTTAATGGTAAAGGCAAGAACGTTTATTATATAAATATATCTTTTGATCATTTTGACAAAACAATGAACGATATAAAGAGGCCCAATCTATTATTTATAAACGTTTAAAGCGCAAACGTTTACTATATGAACGTTTATTAAATTATTATATGAACGTTTATTATAAACGTTTATTATAATAGCTTATATATAATAACTATTATAAGGCAAGAACGTTTATAATATGAATATATCTTTTGATCAATAGTTTAACATTTTTATTATAAAAAGATACACATGATTATAAAACCATATGAGTAAAAAGTATCATTCAATAATAAAAAAAATATATATATATATATATTAAACTATATACCATATAAGATTACATACTTATTTTAATTTCAAAAATTTCAATGAATTTTCAAGAACATTTATAAATTATAAACGTATAAAATTTTTCACATTGAAAATTTTTGTTATCAATGATTTAAATATATTAGTTCTTTCTAAAAAAATTCTATTTTTTAAAGATATTAACACAGTTGATAATATGATTATTTTTGGTATATACCATACAAACCGAATGTATGTGATTTTATAAAAACCGTAAGATTTGGATATGGTTTGATTTATAATCGATTAAACTGAAACATGTAAATATGTATATCTATTTGTTACATAAGTTGAACTATAATTATGATTTGTAAATCACTTGAATCACTTGAAATATAATTAACTAACAA